CTCTGGAATCTTGTGCTGTAAGATAAAGGCGGTGTCTCCCTGGTATACCTGAATGGTGTTAGCATGTCCTTACGGCAATGTGGTTAGCCGATGGGGGTCCTAGCGGCATCCCAAAGGTTGTCAGATCGCGCAAATCAATATGAAGCGCTCGCTGATCGTAACCTGCGTATAAGTCAAGGATCGCGTATATCGTGTAGCCTGCAAAAGCAGCAGCTAAATGCTCTACAAATGGTGGTAGCGATGCATCTCAAATTGTTACCTCATTGAGCGGCTGCAAATCATGGACTAGCTGAAGCGACCTTCCGTCCTTTTTCACAATGCAAAACCATCTAGAGCGGTACGCAGCCGTTGATGGCTCGTATATGCCCGAAGAGATCTTTTCTTTGACGATGTGAATAACTTCGCCGACGATAGCCGGCAGGATCGGAATGTTGTGCTGATTCCAAGGCGTGTGCGGGACTGTAGGTATCTTGTACGGCGGGAAATATTTTTCATCAAGGCGGCTGCGCTCAGCGGTGCACCAAGCGAACACGAGTTCATGTACCAGAACAAGCCATTGTACTAGCTTAAGTTCTTCAGGCCATAGCCATTTGGCGGGATCAAGATCAAGCTTGTTGGCTCTTTCTTGCGTGAAGCGGGTACCTGGAACAAAATCGGGAGGATGAGCAGGTAATTCTGGCAAGCCAGTGAGCGGGTCTTCAGGCAATTGCTGCACGATTCTATACTCAGCCGGCATAGCCGTCAGTACCGTGCGGACTTTCTTTGCGACTGGTTTATATACCAGCGTGTGCAAATCACGGTCATAATAATACCACTCGTTGAAAGCAGCAATGTTCGCCTTATTGATGGCAGATCTGGTGGACGTTAGTTGTGCATATTGTGCCGATTGGAGCGGGGATGGAAGAGAAACAGAAAACTGCGGTGGACGATGCGATGATACGGAAAATGATGCGATGTTGCTCCTTAAGAGTGGTAATGCTTTGCCCTCAGCACGCGCATATTGCGGCGCCTCAGGACTTGAACAGGAATGCGAGACATAATGTGAAGAAGAGACTTGGTTAGCGGAATATAACAACGGCAGGTAGACGTCTCCCCACGGCAACTGCAGATCATTGATACCTAAAAACCCTTCTCCTCGGCTTTCGCCTTTGTGGAGTGCTCAGCACAATGCTTGCCATTGAGACAATGGTCACAGCGCTTGACCCATGGCAGGGTCGGGAGACACAATTCCTTGTGGGTGTTCGGATCTGTGATTACAATATCTTGATCTCTGTTAGGGAGATCATTAGTGTGGCATGATGATAGTTTGAAAAATGGACGGCCAAGGAGAACCTCAAATGTCGCGCGGTTAGTCACTTGTACTTGGAAGTACATTGGACCACTGCCGAAGTCGAGCGGGACATTCTCGATGACACCAAGCATAGCGTCGCGTGATGTATTTACCGATTCCATGTTGAGCTTGTGATCCAAACACAAGCCGACACCCAATGATTGCCATATTGCATGTGGCATGACAACAACCTCTGCGCCTTGGTCAAGGATGCAGGTTAAAACTCTTCCGCCATATGTGACTGCACGGATACAACGTAGCGGCGTGAAGTGGTCAGCAATGACTTTGCCATTGTCACTTCGCATATGAACACCGTCGTACGCGCCGAGCCATTCTTCCATTGCGGGGTGCCCTGACAATTCATTGATGGAGACTGCGCCAACGGTCACCCATTTAGTAGCCGTCATATCACGGAATTGCTTCCTGATTTTGGGTGATACGGCAAACAATTCTCGGACCAGGATATTGAGGCTCGTGTCAAGTAGGTGCTCAATAATGCGCTTGTCGGCTTCCTTATCTTCCAATGCATGGGAGTATCAGTATTGACCGGTTGATGTTGCGGCAGCAGCGGGCAGGTTGATGGTGGTTTTTGATGGTTCTAGTGGTGATGCGGCGGGCGATGATTTGGTTGGTGCCTTGCTGGATGATGCTGTTGGCGGTGGTGCTGTAGTGGTTTTTGGAGTCTCAGCCACCTTTCCTTTGCCTTTGCCCGACGTAGCTTGAACCTCTGGAGAGACAATCTCCTCAGTCGCGGCTATTAGTCTGGACGCGGGGCCCAGACGCGCGTGAGTTTCTCTGCCGACCTCAATGCCATCAAATTGAATGGTCTTGCCCTTGGCGTCGTCTTTGGCGCTTCCGCGCTTCAGATCCCACCAAGCTGTCGCTAGTGCTTGTGCTTGTGCTGCGTGCGCTCATCTAAATCATCCTCATCCTCATCCTCGTCGGATTCGGGGTCAGCAATGGTATGGATAAATGCAGATGAATCAATGTCTACAACAACCTCTACACCTGGTGATGCGCGATAAAACATACTGGCGCTAATGCTAGCACCCGGCAATGCCTCATTGGCCTGTTGATTGCCATGATACCAGTCAAGGTGATCTTTGAGCATGCCGTCGCTTTGCCGGCCAGGAATCCAATTGCCATTGGGCAGTACGAGCTTATTGATAGTGACATCAAACTTACACTTGCCAGCCGCGATATATTGATTGCGCTCGCAGCACCAACCCATGAAGTGGTCCGATCCGCCACAGAATATGCAGCCACTAGGGCCGTAGTTGCCACCTCGCTTCGCAATGTATTCTTGTTTTACTACCACGTTAGGCGCCACTTGTTGCTGCACCGGCGCCGGTGATGGGACTGTCGGTACATACGGTGATGCTATTACCGGAATATTTGAGGGTATGGGACTGGCAACGCCGATGCCCGGCAATAAAAATGTTGTGGCCGTAACAATGTCGTTGAATGGGTATGGGTCCTGCGGATGATGATCTGGGAATTTGATCATTAGCCGGGTAAGCGTTTGCGCTTGAATATCGCTTGGAAAACCATCTATAAAAATGTGGTCATGTTCCACTTTACCTATGCGGTCTTTATCGATAAGCGCTCGCGCGATCTTGAGCAACGCACGCTGATAGTCGCCCAGTTCCTTAACTGAGCACATCAGTATGTTCTTTTGGTTGTGCGCAATGGCAACTAGATCATTAATGGCATACCGCCGGTCGCCCTCGCAACCAGGGTACATCATCTTTACCTCTTTGATATAAGCATCGTAATCGCTGCCCTTTGCCTCAGGCATTTCTGCCCATAGCTCGTGTTCGCCTGTTGACAGGTAGCGAATTATGCCTTTGATGTGGTCACCATGTTGGAGGCGCGCCTCATTGGCGAGGACCTCATACTTGTCGATAAAGGCTAGGAGATTTTCTGTTGTGCCGTCGAACTTCAGTGCTGCAGATTGGCATTCTGAAGGTTGGGACGGTTGACATGGTGATTTGTGGTGCGGCAGGCGGGGGTTGAGATACTGGTTGTTGTATGAGGGGCAACAGGCCGTGTGAGAAAATGGCGACGGCTGTGCGGATGGAGTTGGGCGCAGGCGGTACAGCAGTTGGAAGGTGCAGGATAGTCGAAGATGAGGCGGCGGTTGTTTCAACTGTAGGGATACTTGGGAATTCTCAGTTTAAATCACTAAGAGATGTTAGCGCGCTCAGGTGATCAATGTTACAAGCGTTAACGAGCGCCGGTTGTTTGGGCATTGCGCAAAATGTGCCGGGTAAGAAGTTCCTAGGATTATCAAGCGCTTCGAAATCGTCGGACAATTCGCCTTGTACTGAATCCTTTGGCAAAGGCGCGACTGGTGAAGCGGGCACGTGGTTGCGTGCTACAAATAAGTCCGGGTCGGGGCGGGTTAGTTCTGAGATGTTGCATGGACAGTGCTTGTTTGGCGCCATGAAGAGTTCTTTAATGGGCATTAATTGCATATGTGGGAAGGCGTGGTTGAAACTATCAATTGCTTCTTGGCGCGCGGTGCGGTCCTTTGTAGGTCTCAGCTTCCTACTAGTCTTCTCAGATGATCCCCTCGTGGTGGGCTCCAGTTGTGTGTGAGGAATGATAGCTAGATGAGAAGGGGTGAAAGGGTGAGAAAGGGTGAAGTGGGGTAAAACTCAAATAGACCTCTGGATGCAAGTATAGATTCGGCCCGAGGGGATTGCTACTGAGAATGATGCCTCTGAATAAAATGTGAGGGGAAACTTGGAAACTAGTAAGGGTAACTGAGGATGAAAGAGCGCGAGAATTTGCACCAATGCGATGTGAGCGCGAGTGAGCCGCCGAAAAGCGCATTACGATGTGTGGCCGTATAGCCGAGAGTTTGGTGGGGCGCGGAAGCGCACGGCCGAGCTAAATGATAAATGCGAAGGTTTTGCAAGTGCGTAAGTGATGCAGCGCGGCGGCGGAGCGAGGAGAATGTTTGTCGATAGAAATGATAAGTAAAATGTGAGCGTTAATGCGGCCATAGGAGGCGCGCGTGCGGTAGTATGCCGAAGGTTTCAGATTTTCAGTCCAAGTGTTGCGTGCAAGTTGGTGATAATTTTGATGCGGGAAAAGATAGATACATGAAGATTCATAAGTACTAAGTACATATATATGAGAGCGCACGAAGCACTGTTTGGAGCCGAGTAGGTAGCGGTAGTATGGAAACAGGGTCCATAACGCAAGTAATGAAAATATAAATGAGATAGTGTCAGAAATAAAGTCAGTCTAATGCAGATTGAGATAAGTACGCACCAATGGACTGGCGGAGGACATGGATATGACATGGGAAGGACGCACGACGGAGCTGAAGGGAAGCCGATGCGAGCCGAAGTGCGCACGTGAGTCGTGGCCATCGGCCGATAACGGAAATGGTGTGTGCCGCATTAGCTATAATGCGCGCTATGTGAGGACCTAAGGGACACTGCAAAAATGGCCTCTACAAGGCTACAAGGACTCCAAGTCCTACAATGATATCAGTCATAGGTAGTGCCTCTGAATCATTGACATCAATACATACAGAAGTCACACCAAATGAAATCATACCAGGAGTGCAGCTGTTGAGTTTCCAAATCTTCGCATAGGTAGGCTGGCCACCACGCCCCTTGGGGAACAATGATTAAATCAAATATCTTTTTTATCTTTAAATGACATCTTGCCGCACACTGAAACCTTGATAGCCTTTCAAAGAAAGATATGAGTAATTGTCCTATGGTTGAGTCAGTGTATTTTACCTTTGTAATTATCAACCAGTTTCTGAAAATCTTTTTCTCGTTAACAATGTTATCAGGGTACAGTACCGGTGCTTTGAAAACATCGAAGGTTTTCCCCTTCCCCGCCTCCCATCCAATCATATCTGTAATTTGCTGGATGGAAGCACGGTCATATCTGGCAACAAAGTACTCAGGCGACATGTTGAAGATGCTACCTGAAACAGTACATAGACCATTGAAGAATGATGATCGTGCCTGTTGCATGCCTGTTGCAAACTGTTCCATAAATCGTCAACTCATTTACAACTATGTAAAATTTTAAGTTACATACCAAGTTAAAGAATGAATTTGTTCGCATTTGAGGATGCAACTCTTGATCGATTGAGGCATAGAGCTCAGTGACAAGGGCAGCCTTCTCTGTCAATTTCTTTGCATAATGTTGCGGACTTGTTATATCAACCAGAGGATCAGGGCAGTCTGTCTGAAAAATGACCTTGTCAGGCAGGAACATCTCCATCGTCAATGCATACTTCTTGGCCAAACCCAAGATTAGTTTGTCGATGATGGTCTCAGACATTATGATGGACGCTGTAGTCAATGGCGCAGATGAAGGTGGCGCAGATGAACACGAGGATGCGGTAGATGAAGGTGGTGCAGATGAATGTAAGGACACAGTAGATGAGGCCGGCAATGCAGCAGCAGGGTGATGTCTGATTTGGTGAGCACCTGCAACGTTTCAACTGCTGCGCTGCTAGTGTACCATTGGTTGCATTCAGCGCTGTGTTATGCTCTTCCAACTTTCCTTTCTCAAGCTGAAGTTGCTTGATGTACTAGATAAAATGAGTCAGGGAATGGACGAGAGTTGACGAAAGAAACAAGAGCCTACCGCTTGAAGGTGCTTTGTAGACGAATTGGTGCTTGGTGGTGCCACAGGCTGTGGGGCGTCATCATCTGAATCATGCCCTGAATCTGACCATGACAATGTGTTATCGGAATTGTCGAGGTTTGAATCAGAGTCCAGTGGAGAGTCCAACATGAGCTATATGCAAAGAGAGAAATGTGTGATGTGTGAGCAGCCCAGATGCTGAATGAACAAATGAATCATGAGGTCTTTATATACATTTTCCGGGCAACCCTAAACAGTTTAGAATCAATCTGTGGTATTACTAGTGAATGAGATAATGATAGACACGAGTTGATTCAATAATAACATACATAATACGATTTGACGCAATCACTTCAGTACACAAGTCATTATTAGTGAAATGGATCATGGAAGCTGTGACCTTGAGAAGAAATGCTGGATGAAAGATGCATGTCCAAACATGAGGCAACACTGTTATGACACACTTGTGTCAGTAATATCAACTATGCAGCTTGATGACCTACTTAATGCATGTTATACCTAATAATATAGTGCGTATTGCAAGCCGAGGATCACAAAAAAGATAAGTTCTTTACTCAGGCCGCCGCCAAAGTGTCAGGCAAGTTAAGCTTGCAGAGACTTGAGCCGAAGAAACATGTCTGCATCAACTGTGTCAATGACGAAGTAATCACCTTGTTTCCCAGGATCGCTGGCAAGCGCAGCCCCTCGGATAATTGACCTTACAGAGATGAATTTGGGAGATGACTGAGGTTTGGCTCGTACATGCCATAGTCCCAGGTCAGTATCATGTTTTCTACGGACACCAATTCCAACATCATATGGATGTATGAGCGCCAGTGAAAGATTGGTTTCACCAATTGAGCAACCGAACATGAAGATAAGGCGAGCAAAAAATGGTTGATTGTTGGTTTGAACCATAACACAATCATATCGTGGAGATCCAAAGAACTTGGGGTTGCATCAAAGGAGGTCTTTGCACTGGCGCCAGTTGACCATAGACTCGTAGTTGACTTGCAGATATTTGTATCCAGTAATCTAAATATCATGTTGTGAAGCACAATTTTAGCGAGTAGTTAGCAGGATGAGTTGTTGGCATACCTTGTTGTCAGCCTGCAAATGAATGCGCTTGTCATCTGGTAAAGGAATGTCATTACTGGGGAAGAATGTGTTCAGGAAGGCGTTGAGTTTGATTCAAAAACCAACAAAGGCCCTGTCATCTGCATGCGACTGCTCGAGACTTGCAAATGAGATGTCACCTTGCGCCAAGCCTAACTTTATGTGGGTGCAGGGAGCTGGAGCCACAGAAATTGCAGGATTTTCTGTGTCTGCGTCTTCTGTTGTTGGGAGGTTGGCTTTCCAATTGTACTTGTCCAACTCGTCGAGTTCAGAACGCATTGATGTTGAGGTTAGTAGCCAATGATCATAGCGAAGAATCTGAACCAGTTCTTATTAGTTCATGTTAATCCAGTCCTGTTGACACACGAACCTGTGTAGCAATGTCCTTGAAATTTGTTTGATTGCGGTAGATGTCCCTCACAGGGCCATGCATCTTCTCGTTCAGTTTTGTGTTGTAGTTTTGTGTTGTGCCTTTTGCTAAGATATCATCAAATAGATGCGAACTTGTGTGTTTCTTGGGGAAATTCCAGTCCTTGCCTGTTACAGGCTGTGATTTGAGAATATACTCCTAATCACAGATCATAGGTGAATGGTCGGGAAGTATTGCGAAGCATAACTTGCCTCCATCAGCACTGAAAATCTCGCAGAGCTTGTCTTCCTGCAGAAATTGTATCTTCAGTGTGAACCTCAAATCCAGTGTAAATGTCGGGATTGATATAGTGGTGTATGCATCGCAGAAGCAGATAGCCGAGCTTACTCTGTGAATGGTGGAGGATCCTTTGCGCCGCAAAGATAGCCATCTGAGTCTCATTAGCACAGAATTCAGCTTCAGTTGCAGCTTACCTTCAATATGTCCTCGTGATGTGAAGTATCATTGAAATTGACCACAACTACCTTCAAAAAGAGCGTCAGGTTAGACCACCGTGGAAAAGCATCATAATTCGCATCCATCTGCACAACAGCTTCTCGCCCTAATTCAAGTATCCAGAACTGAAGCTCCCTCCATAAATGTGCCTCCAAAGCCCTCCATGATACACATGCATGCGATCAAAGGAGAGTGCTCAGTGAATGTCAGTGAGCAGCATTTCCAGAAGACATTCTGAAA